TCCTAACCAAAACACATAGAGATTGAACCTAGTTGTTCATGAAACATTTTACTAATGAACAGTTTTCTCTTTAATAGTTTTTAATGGAAAGTGTATACATGAGCAGAATTTAGGGTTGTAATAAAAAGTTTGCACAAGTTGAATGGGTGAAAATTAATGAACAGAATAATGGTATTGTGCTTATGTTGACTAGCTGTGAATTGAGAGCAGTGCTCATGCACTCTTCTTGTGTAATTATGTATTACCAAAGCCGCGTTTTTCATCTTTTTTTTGCTTGCTTTTCATTGTGAGTTTTTAGTGAATCTGTAAATTGCATTCAAGAAGAGACTTTTCCTGATATGTATAAGTTTAAGCCTTATCACAAATATACACTGGAACACTGTGCAGTTCAGGAGGTCCCCCAGACTATCCTTGGGTTTAATGACTTGCTAGAAGGGCTTACGGAACTCAGAAAAGCTGTTATTCACTGTTACAGTTTATTATGGAAAAAGATAAAGATTAAAATCAGCAAAGGGAAGAGGTGCAATGGTGGTATCCAGGAGAGGTGAGGTGTGCAGCTTCCATTTGTCCTCTCCCAGCGGAGTTGTGCAGACAGTGCTTACTTCTTACAGCAACAATGTGTGGCAATGTGCATGAAGTATTGCCAACTAGAGAAGCTCATTTGAGCCTTGGTGTCCAGGGTTTTTATTGGGGTCTGCCATGCAGGTGTGACTGTGTGACTGGCATTAGTCTGTAGCTTCTCCAGTAGTGGGTCAAGCTGATACCCTCTGGCTCAAGGCCCCCACCGTAAATGACATTGTTAGAATAGAGTATCTGGTGTGGCCCAAAGCCTCCAGGTTAACTCTTATCTGGCAGATACTCTTATCTGGCAGGAGATTCTGAGAGCTTAGAAATTATCATCCAGGAGTTAAAGGTAAGGGTCAGACTTTCTTTAGGCAAGGGTAATCCTGTACTGCACACAGCTAGGATCTCTCTGCTTGCATCTTCTATAGTTCAGAGCTGAAGCATGTATTTTGATCACAGTTCTACCTTTCCAGTTGAGGCCCATTGAGGACATATGCTGGGATGGGTGGTCTTGTGGTTTCCAGTTTGATTTTTGTATTTGTCACTGTTACTGGATTATTCATATAAATGCTCTGTTCTTTGTCCTCTCTTCCTTAATGCAGGAAAATACATGTTTTAGAGGTTTAACTTTCTATCATAGTCTTCTAAATGCTCTTGCAAATTACAAAATGGAAAAGTATGCTATTTTACGGAAAACTTACTCCAGATATTGTACTTTAGCAGATTTTGTAGTATTAGTATTGTTATCGAGGAAATGGACTGGCTGGCTGTACAATGTGCACAGAAACCAATACAATGTGACACCAGCTTTATTGCAAAACTGGCCAGCTAGGAGACAGGAGAAGGCTTAAATCTATCTCCCCAATTTGGGGTCTGGGGAAAGTTTATGGGCTCAGAGGGCAAGGGAAAGGGTTTAGGAATGTTGTCTTGACAGGGTTTCATTGGAGGGCTTCAAATTTGGTCATTTATGGTAAGGTGTTTTGAGGTGGATTTTAGCCTTGGATCATCTGGGCCAATGGACCCCTCACTTCTGAAAAAGTTCCAGTGTTCAGGGTCTAGTCATGTCCTGGTCTTCTTGGTTCATAGGGAAGGAAATATTGGTTCCAGCTGTAGTTAGAGGTCAGAGGTTTTTCTATTGTGTGTTCCAGGGCTCTATGACTTGCAGTGTTTGGTTCTGTTAACCTACAACGTAACTCGACAGTTTGTTGTACACAGAGTAGGCCCAGTTTGTGCTGGATCTGCAGTTACAGTATTGCTTGAAATAAAAAAAAAATTGAAATCTAAACAAATTACAGAGTATTTATGAAGTTTTAATTATGCAAATGATGAACATTATTACTTTTTAATATCATTTCATTTTCCCCCAATCTTACTTTAAAAGCTTTCCAAGAGACTAATGGACAAGAAATTCAAAGAGCCAATCACCAGTGCATTACAAAAGCTAGAACAGCGTGGTGGAAGTGTAAGTAGAACATTATTCCTTAAGTCGTGATTTTTTTTTTTTACTTTTAGTCATATTACAAAATTCACTGTATATTTAACATACGCTAGTTCATTTCAGCCACAGGTAACCATGTGAAATTGATATTGCTATTTGCATTTTAGAGCTCAGAGTTTCTCTCCTGCCTAGGTCTCACCATTTTCAAGCACTGGGACACGAACCTAGAATGTAGAAATACAAGGCTTGTACACGTTCATGACGCTTACTATGTGGCAGTCCGTGTGGTGCAGTGTTAGTTTTTTTCTTTAAAGTACTTCAAATATTTTTGTTTTAACCATTAGAAAGTTCACAAAACCAAAGGTTTAACTTAGCTCATTGAAGAAAGATACTTTTTCCTCTTTCATTTGCCATGTTTTCTGCCTCAAAATTTAGAATCTATCAATAATCAAAGATTAAAATGACATCCAAATGACTGCACTATTTTGTCTGTGAACGAACGCATAGCATACTCCTACATGTGTACACGTACATACGCACACTCCAGTTGATTATCCTAACTTTTTAAGGTG